TGGTGCCGAGCCTTCAGAATAAAAGCCCGACCGTTGAAGACAATTTTAGGTTACAATCTGTCATCGTCAGATTCAGCGATAAAACTTTTGAATTAATACTCAACTAATCGTGTGCTTAGTTTTTGGGTCGCGGGGCACTTATTGCTTTTTACATCCAGTTACAATTCCGGAAATCAATGTACTACAATAACAAATCGGTTGCACAAATTCATATATTTCAAACGTTACTCAGTAGTCTATACATTGTATTGTAGCATAAGGCACATATTTTTACATTTTTACACACTTGATAAACTACGGAAGCGTATTGCATTCACTTGACAAATAAAAAAGCCCTGTTTTTCTGAGTAATTTTTTCTGTTTTTCAGAGTAATTTATTTATTTTCTGTTTTTCTCAGTAATTTTTTTTCTGTTTTTCTCAGTAATTTTTTTTTTTCCTGAAGGAAGAGACGATATACTTCAAAATCTCGCGAGAAGCTCCCACCTGGCACCTGCAAGTGACCCCTGCATCCATGTTGACTCCTGCTCATGGATGTATTTTGCATCCGTGCTCCTGCTCCTAGACAATTCAAACTACGGGATCAATAAGGGTAAGGCACCTAATAAGTTAATTATGCTCAATGTAACAGGTTAGGTTAGTAACAGGTTGTAAAATCATGCCCATACACGTTTGTCAACCTAACCTGTTACATTGAGCGATAGGCCTACACTAGAAGGATGCAATTGAAAACATAGCTAGATTATCATACCCTGTGTGTAACTAATTACGTGCCTTACCCTTATTGACCCCATAGTTTGAATTGTCTAGGACAGGGGTCAGTAACCTTTACTATTAAAAGAGCCATTATTGGCCAAAAAAGAAAAAAAAATCTGTCTGGATCCACAAAACATATTTGAATACAGGTAACAGCCTAATAAATCTAAATTAGCCCATCAATATTAAAAACAGGTCTAAATGAGCATTCATTTATATGATTCACTACAAGGTGGCTACTCTGCAGTCGACTAGTTATAATTATTTAGTACTTTAACTCTGCAGCATTGGTGGTGAAAGCAAATTAATCTGTCCACAAACTATTACATCCTCTGTTTTCCTCCAAGACTTTTCCTTTTTTGGATTTGGAATCTATAGCTAGCCTTGAGAGACTCCAGGCTAGCCACAGCTACTGAAGTTCAGCAAAATTTAGAGGAAAAGGCACCAGGCTGTAGCACATGATGCACATTTTAGCTGACAAAACACTGAAACTTCAAATTTCACGTATAGGCTACACATTTTCACAATTGTAGAAAGCAATAATCACTTAAGACCTAAAATAATGACGGATGAAAATCTGAATTAATTTCCATATAATCTTATGTCAAAGCCACAGGGAGCCAATGGAGAGGGTCTAAAGAGCCGCATATGGCTCCAGAGCCGCAGGTTGCCTACCCCTGGTCTAGGAGCAGGAGCACAGATGCAAAATACATCCATGAGCAGGAGTCACTTGCAGGTGCCAGGTGGGAGCTCCTCGCGAGATTTTGAAGTATATCGTCTCCTCGTTCAGGAAAAAAAAATACCATGAAAAAACAGAAAAAAATTACCACAAAAAAAAAAAAAAACAGAAAAAAATACCCCCCAAAACAGAAAGAAATTACCACGAAAAACAGGGAAAAAAATACTCCAAAAAACAGAAAAATAAATAAATTACTCCGAAAAACAGAAAAAATCACTCAGAAAAACGGGGCTTTTTTATTTGTCAAGTGAATGCAATACGCTTCTGTAATTAACTCAGGTCATTATACATTAAAAAAAAACATTTTACATGCTAGCATTGCAGCATATAGCATATATTTTCTATTTTTATAGTTTTACATCTAATTTCTACTTGTGTAATTCTCTAAGCATTACACCAGAGTAACTGTAATCAACCACAATGTCCCCCCTGGATCAATTAAGTATTTCTAATTCTGATCAAGCTCATATTTAAACAAACACAGTTTGTATCTAAGAATTGAGCTTCATTATACATTAAGAATTATGCTGAGTATATCTGAAATGATCAGTTAGTTCTTTACTGATTGGCTGATCGAACAGAAAATTATTTTTCAGCGGCTATGAGTTAACCTTGAGTTCTCAGAAACTGTGCTCAGTGCTCTTTTTATTAAACAGCTGAGATTTCTTTTTTAGATTTATCAATAATGGAAATACACTGTGTTCCAAAGTATTATGCACATGCTGCTTTTTTTTTCTTCCTAAATAGTCAATACATGAGACAGTCAGTATGATTATTTTTTTTATTTCTCAACAGTTATATTAACAATTTTATCTGGATTTTATTAAACAATGACAACAACAGTATTTTTTTTCTGTCAAATAACTCAAAATACACTGCTCATCAGATGTGCATTAATGCTGATTATTTTTAATATGTTAGTGGCTGCTGTCCACCCAGACTCTGCTGTTTGAATGTAAGAATGAATCCATCATTCTGACTGTGCTGTAGAGTCTACAGCTTTAAGATGTAAACAGGAATCCATGAGTCTGTCAAAATACAAGGGGTCATCCACATCCACATCTCGAGGGGTTCCTGCTTCATGATGTGTAGATTCACGGGTGGTTTGCTGAGAAGAAGTAGCCCAACTGGAAAGGCGCCACTGTCAGTCTTGTGTTTATGCATTTAGAATTTACGTCCAGAAAGCTACGTGGAGAAACTAAAGGAATATATACATCAGTCTGTTTTGCACGGACAAAGAACCTCCTGAAACTGGAGAAAGGAATGACCACTTTTGGTTCGGAGGATGGCTTTGTATCTCATTATGCTGTCAGAAATGAGCTAATATTATGAATATGAATGAGGATGTCTTGCAGGCTTTAAAACGTGGAGTTTGCCTGGACAATGGCAGAGTTTCTATTATCGGCTGAATCTCTCTCAGGCTAGTGCAGAAGCTTGATCTGTTACTGGCTTGCTAAATAAAGTTCTCTTGGTCCAAAGAAGCTTGTATCAGCAAAGTCTTTCCTTCACCTTTATCTCACCATCTTCTGTCATTGGAATAAGAAAGGCCTGATAAACTACATCCAAATAATTATTCACAACAGTTTCAAAACACTCAGCAGTTGCAAAGACTTAAACATGGAAATCTGTTGTATCTTTTTTGCATTCAGATATAGTTTTTCTCAATCAAATGTTATTTCAATCAAAAACATCTTCACAGATCAAGTCGCATATTATCATTGGAGCCCTTCCTTGATATCACCTTAACAACTCTCTCATCCATTGAACTTGTAAGTGTATATATGTATAGTTTGTGCCTGTATTTCCTTTGAGGATGCCAGAATTGCCTCCCAGAGGTGCTGCTTTGACGTAAACTGCCGCCCACTGTCATAGATCTTCCACTTAAAGATGCTACACTGGTTCTCAATAGGGTTGAGGTCAGGGGATGATGGTGGCCACATGATGATGTTCTCTCCCTTCTCTCCCTCTTCTTTTTATACCATGGCAGGAAATAGTCAGTTTGGAACTCCACATATGACACCTTCAGGCACCCTAAAGGGACCTACCAACTCCCCATTATTCCAGCCCAAAACATCACTCCACCACCTCCTTGCTGACGAAACAGCCTTGTTGGGACATGACGGCCATGCACCGACCATGCAGAGCTCCATCCATCTGGACCATCCCGCGTAGCACGTCATTCATCAGTAAATCTTCGTCTTTCGAAGTCAGTCTTCATGTATTTCTGAGCCCACTGCAATCGTTTCTCCTTGTGGGCACTGGTTAAGGGTGGCCGAAATACAGCTCTGTGCACAAGCCTCTGGAGGATCCTGCATCGTGAGGTTCTTGAGACTCCAGAGACACGAGCAGCTTCAAAAACCTGTTTGCTACTCATCAGTGGCTTTTTCACGGCTGCTCTCCGAATTCGACGCATTTGCCTGACAGAAACTTTCCTCGATACGCCTTCATCTGAATGAACCAGCCTGCACTCTGAATCACGCACAAATCTTTTCACAGAACGATGATCTCTCTTCATTTTTTGTGAAATATCCAATGTTTTCATACCTTTAGCAAGACGTTGCACTATTTCACGCTTTTCATCCGCAGAGAGATCTTTCTTTATCCCCACATTGCTTGAAACCTGTGACTTGCTTAATAATGTGGAACAACCTCCTGAAGTAGTTTTTCTTTCAACATTAACTAACGTTTCAGTCCAAAAGGAAGAACTTCATATTGTTTAGTTTCACTCAACATTCAATCACATTTTCTTTTGATGATTTTTTGGAAATGTGCTTAAAAATTTGTAATTTTTTTAATAGAAACTTGGCTTGTGATTCACATCTCTGGTTTCTGTAGGAAGCAATGAGACTGATGGAGAATGTGGCCTTCATAGCAGTACAGAGTTGCTTAATGAAGTCAGTCACCTCCATTGGTCTCATTTACATGATTGAATTTGATGACATTTTGTCATTTCTAATGCAACATGTAGCACCTTGTGAAGGGTGACTTCACACTGGGAGCCTGTTAAATTGTTTTTAAAGTTCTACAAATGAAGCTTAGAATTCAATCTTGCACATGATGCATAAAGGTCAGATGAGTTTTAACAACCACTTAAAGAGGCAACAGATAGGATTCGTTTTATTTAGCTTGGCGCCACCTAGCGTCAGTGGTGTCACTGTTGCCAAATTGACCGTGGGTATCAGAGATCGCTGCTTGACAATGTTCACCCAAGAGTTAAGCTCAAATTTCTCAAAAGCTATTATAAGTCTGTTATATGCTGCCCTAAGTTATAAGCTAACGTTATTATAAGTCTGAGTAGGCTTATTTTGTAATTACTTCCGTCAGTCACACAAGTAACTTAGCTACTAGTTAGCTAACAGTAGCAAGCTATCGTTATTGCTAGCTAGCTTACATCTATGTGTAACCGACCTGACAGTTAAGTGCACACTGGCTAGTATTTTTTAGGTTCACAGGGCGAAGTAATAATAAGGGATTGGACACCACAAGGAGTAACTGGAACACACAGGTAAATTTAAGCAAAAACATTGTATTGAATACACATAAAAAACAATAAACAATTCACAAATACTGCCGGCAGTCAGTTTTGTTCTCTTTTGAAATGTCTTTTAACTGGATGCACCCTAAATAAAATAAAATATTTCTTCCCCCAAAAAATAAGAAAATAGTTCACTTTGATCGTCCTTGAAAGTCCTTGCCCACAGCCCTACCACGCTGACAGGACAGAAGATGAAGCATGGGAAGGCCCTCCTCAATCCAGATGCTCACACGGGTAGCTCGCCATCCCCCTCGTCAGGGAGAGAATCACTCCACATCCAGGGTCCAGAATCTCAGGGTATCCAAAAAACCCAGCCTGTATAACATGACAGGGCTTATTTAAATCTGTTTTCTTTTAACTGTACAGTTTAATTTTATCAATATCAATGTATAATTCAACTTTTCACTGCTAACTTATTAAAAGATAACTGCTGCATTGCAATGTTAACATATGAAATGTAACTCCACTGTTTTATAGTGAAACAAAATCATAAAATGATGTAATAAACAGTCAGGAACTCATATGCAAATGATTATAAAAACCACTCACAGTTCATCATTAAATACTCACTTAGATTGGATTATGGTAAGTAAGATAATGTAACATAAATGCAACATAAATTTCTTGTCACAGTACTGATACCTTGTACCTATGCACACCACACCACAGTAATATACAGAATCAGTAGCTTCATAACCCATGAAACTCAGCTAAATTATGTCTTTTTCTGTACATACAATGTAAATAACATGCACACATACTCATTTTACACACATATTCCAGTTTTTTCTCTTCTATCATTGGAAAAATACCAGGACATTGACTTCATGCTCCCGCTCGGTGGTTGAAACACCACGAGGCTAGGCTAATTCATGGAGCTATTTGCTAATGCGTCACAGAATTCACCGAGAAAGTAAAATAATGGACCGAGCACAAGATGTTCCCAGCATCGCTTCAGTGGTTCACCGGACTTTTATCTGCTTGCACAGTTCCTCCTTTTAACAGTATACCACAATATCAAGTATTTTTAACAAGTTTTATCACTCCAAAAACCTCTGTGTTTCCGCTATCGTCCTGCTCATAGATATATACACATAGATGCCGCACCCTGGCTTGTGGGATGCGTCAATACCGCTGCCATCTTGCCTAGGTGCTCTGACCGTTCAGACCCGTGTCAGACTCTGCAAAAATGTCACATATTTGCTCTGCATTTGGGTGTACGAACGAAAGAAGTGTTAAAACCAAGCAGAAGGGAATAACATTCCACAGGTAAGAAGTTGTTTTACAATATTTTACTGTTACGAACATGTTTAATGAGATATATATCTCAAAAAGTGATCCTTCTTTTAAGCTAATCAAGTAAAGTAACTGTCCTGATCTGGTCCTAATGCCAAATTAAGCTAACGCTATGTCACACAACTTAAAGAAAAAAGGTTAACATTTATATAATATTACTTATAAAATTATGATGCTTTGTCAAACAGCTATGTCGGTGTATGTGTTATTCCAAATTGTCAACTAATGGCACCAACGTGACATAACACAGTATAACGTTAGTAGTTAACTTGTGGCCTGAATTGTAACTACAAATTATGTGGAACTGTGTTTTTCTGACACACTTATTTTGTGTGTATTTTCCCATAAAACACAGATAGTAGACGGGCATGGGTAGCAGCAGTGAGGAGAAAGGACTTTGTCCCTAGTGACTCCTCAGTCATTTGTAGCTGTCACTTTAGACCTGAGGACTTCGACAGGACTGGGCAGACTGTCCGTTTAAGGGATGGAGTGACTCCCTCTGTATTATATTTTTGTAAATATGACCTAATAATGTTAACAGTTCTGTGTCCAGGCTCCTGTGAGCACTGTGGTGTTATACATATGAGATTAAAGCAAAATTTTGTGTAAACATGCAGCTCTAAGTCATTTATTTTCACTTGAACAAAACCAACATTTGTTAATCAGAATCTACACTGCAGCTCGGCACAACCCTGCTGACTATTTTTTGCACATTGTGTGACTTAAATGTGACTAAACATTTATAGTCAAAATGAATAATTAAATGACATCATGGTGGGCATTGTACATCTAGTAAGAAAAGAGAATATTTATTACATGTGGAAAGTTTAGTTTAAATGTGTTGTTGAACTATTACTGTTCTTTTATCTACATAAGATCAAATATTTTGGTATAAAAAGCTGCATTTTTTATTTAACCAAGTATCATAACTACATGTCTGACGATTGTAACAAACCAAACCGCATGAAAATTGGTTGAGAATTCAGCGAGTAATGATGATTTTAATCATAAATAGTCTCCTGCCTCAATAGACATACATGCATTAGGCAGCAACGTCTCTGGATCATCAGGACACAGCTGATCCTCTCATAGCCTCCAGCTGATGAGAGAAGAAGACAAGAGAAGTTATAAACCAGCTGTCAGTCAGTGATGCAGCACATCCAGTATAAAGACCAGTAGGGACTTCCTGTTCAGAGCAGAGTGGAGCGGCTGTGTAGCGTAGTCGGCTTTCTTCCAGCTCTCATGTTAACGTGTTGGAGTGAACACACTGAGCTGGAAGCTCACAGACCTGCAGAGACTTTGGGCATCAAGTCTGTTTACTCTGCAGATTTCACTCAAGTACACAGTGGAAATAAACTGCTGAGAGTCCTGAACGCATCATGGCTGCACAAACAGAGGGATTCACTTTAATGATGGATTTACTGAGTCTGTTAGAACAAATGAC